ACTGCTCTAGTTCAGGGGAACAGTGGAGACTCCAGCCACATTGCAAATGGCTGCTGCCAACATACTAATGATATTTGGCTGAATTCCACAAAGACTGAGCTCACAATCATTTCATTCCCATGACCAGGTAACGCTTAACTAGAGCCCTTGAGGAAGGTTAAAATTGGGAATGATTTCTTTTCGTGTATCAATGTTAGTGGGTTCAATTCCCGGGCAGGGTGAAACCTTAGGCAAATTTCCTTACTCCACACATCTCTGTTTACCCAGCAGTAAGTAGGAACCCACTTGTTAGTCAACTGGCGGATTGCTTTTCTGGAGGTAATAATCCCTCAAAAAAAATAATTTGGTCACTCAACCCATGACTGTTTGTGGGATACTGCTATCCACAATTGGCTACCACATTTCGCCCACAAAATATACAGTCACTACACTTTACAGTATATTCTATGAAGCACTTTGAGATGTCGGAAGACATGATAAGGTGCTCTATCAAATGCAAGGATTATTATTATTATTACTATTATTAGCAAAAGTTTGACCACTAAATTTATAACTGCAAATGGCTTACTCATTGCTGCCAAATGACATGCTTCAAAAGATCTTGAACAAGGCTGTAGGACTAGTGCTGGGTGCACTCACAGAGCCATAGCACTGGAACTATGGGTCTGAGCTTTGGGTCTGAAACAGCCTCTGGCTTCAAAGTGTCAGCATTTTACTAAGAGAGGAAAACTAAGACTGACATCTTACACTGCTTGTGAAATCATTATGTAAATAAAAGCCTTCACCTATTGGAGCAGAACTAAGAAATATTCTAATAATTAGCATATTTTTCTTTTTTTAAAAAATTCTGTTGGTTCACTGGAAGGAAATAATAAATAATAATCCTTACATTTAAAATAGTGCCTTTTGACAACTCAAAGAGCTTCACAGCATATACTGTAAAGGGGTATAACTGTATTTTGTAGGTGAATGCAGAATGAAGGAAGGAAGGATGAAAGAAAGAACTTGTATTTTATAGCATATTATTGTGTCAAAATATCTCAAAACACTTTACAGTAACAATTATCAAATGCAGCAACTGTTTTGTAAACAAATATGACAATCACTTAGGACACCATAAGATCCCACAAATAGCACAATGTGAAATGACCAATTTTCTCTAGTGGATTGTCAATCATGAGTGACACTGGGAGAAGCTCAGACAGAATTTGGTGATGTTTGCCTCAAAATCTCTCCTACACACTTTGAGGTGATTGACAGATCTTTTGAAGCACTTTATCCACAATAATGGTTTACCCAGAATCATTGAAAGAGCTTGAGCTCCACTAATGGCCTAGTGGTTAAAGGCTGTGCTAAACAGAAGTTCTTAGGTTTGATTGCAGTCCTGTTATCTGATCTCCACTGGTCCAACATAAAGTGCTCCTGGGTTAAGAAGGGCACTCACTCATGATCCCTTTCCGGTGACACCTGTTGGAACATTGCTTGTGTGTGTATCTCTGGTAAGAACAGTTGAAGCTTGCTGGGTTAAATAATAATAATAATCCTTGCATTTGGTACTGGACATTTTATGTCGGCAGGATATCACAAAGTGCTTTATTGTAAAATGTAGTGACTGTATTTGTAGAAAAACGCTGCAGCCCATTTGAGCACAGTAATGTCGCACAAACATCCGTAAAGTGAATGACTAATTTTATTTGGGGGGTTGGTGGCTGTGACATTGATAGAAATTCCCTTACTCTTTTTGAGTAGTGCCATAGGATCTTTAACATGCATCCCAGTTGTATAAACATCTGAAACTAACTACTGGCACCAGTATATAGGAACTATACCCCATAAATCAGAGAGGAGGGGAGCAAAGAAATATTGAAGGAGGTAAGTACCTAGGACTGGAATATAAAGGTAAATGCGGTACTGGTCCAGTTATATAGATCAGTGGTTAGGCCTCATTTGAAAACCTATGTTCAGTTTTGGTCACCCAATCTTAGGAAGGATATTCTAGGCTTGAAGGGAATCTAGTGATTGTTTCCTCAAGGGCCTTAGCCGACAGATTCTTTCCCGTCAGCTGGCTATGTCACATCCAGAAAATGCACACTCTCTACCTGGAGGGACTCATCCTGCTTACTTAATTCCAGGGAGTATCAGGCACAGATTGGTGAGAGCCAAGGCTTGGGTACCACAGCTAAAACCGCATAGCTGGCCACTAAGAGTACTGCCTGTAAAGGTTTCCCACAGTTTGCCAAGCTAGGAATGCCCTACTCATTAGAGTTTGGGCTTCCAGGGTTAGCAGGATCTGAGTAAGAATCCTTGCCCTCAGTGACTGGTTTGCTCTTCCAAGTCTATGCCCTGCTGACAAACCAGGGTAGCTGGTCTGTCATCAGCAGTGCCCTGGAGTACTGTGGACCTGCCTGATTCAGGAAGCAGACAACCGTGACCATCACAGAAAGTTGGCTGGACTGGACCTTTTTGTTGCCAAGTAGGTCACCATGGAGCCTGTTCAACCCCAAAGAGAGCAGTTTATCTCCTCTTAAAGAAGCATTGTCACTGGGCACACTGGAATCATAGTACTTAGAGCAGAGAAGGTGAAAGGATTGAGATATTTAAAATAATGAAATGAATTGGCAATCTGCTCAGCTGTCAAATCTTACTGACATCCTGTCCTTGCAATCTTTTTACCCCAAATTAATTTTGCATCTTTTTTTCCCCCAAAACTATTTTCATTTCAAAGGACATCCCTTGAGATAACATAAAGCTTCCCTCCTCCCTAAAGAGAGAGAATTGGCACCTAAAAGGCGAGGATCATCGTGATTCCAGCATTCAGAGTGGAATCCAGATTTTCCTTCAGAGATGGGTGTGCAAACTATCGATGGCTGGAGGGTTAGTGCCCGCACAATCACACGCCATTGGAAAAACATAATATAGATAATAGCTATCTTTAATAACAGTCATTGCTATTATCAATCTCCTTTCTTTAATGGATAATAATAAGGCAAATCATTAGTTGCCTGTTATTACACACAAAGCATTAGCAGTGAATCAAATACCTATTCAGATGACTTAGTGACACAGAAGGGATGCACTTGACCGATTACAGCTATCGTTAACAATAACAATACAAAGGATTTTGAAAGGTCTGAGACCAGACATCCGCAGGGCTGCTTTGCAAGTGACAAAAAGCCAAGTCAACCAGCTTCCTCTTTGAGCAATTCCCTCCGCAAAGTGAGCCCTGAGATTCTCTCTTGAAAGTAAGAACAACCTCTGATTCGATTCGACCCCGTTAAACGACGTAGAGTCCAAACCCAGTTTCAGCACGTCTCGGATCCTGCTTTAAGCATCAATGCAATATGTTGCATCGCCAGACTCCCCCCCCCCACCCCTGGCCCGACAGACTTTCTTGGTTGCAGCACCGATTCTGATCACTCGTAGTCCCTAAATTACAATCAACTAATCAAATTAGAACCAATTACTTCACTGTTAATGCAGCGAAGAACTACTGTGTCGCGCACTTCCTCTTCATTTATGCTGTATTTCTCAAATGATCGCTTTTCGAAGATAATTCGTTTCGAACGACACAGCACTATTGTATCTGTAGTGTGCAGCAGGATTTCTTCAATCATTTTCCCTTGGAAAAACCCAAACGTCGATAGAGGGTGCTGCTGTTCGTTTCCTTCTGACTGCAAATGCACTGCTCAGTTGCAGCTCAAAGCTGTGCAATTGCATAACACACGAACGAGTTAAGGTTCTGACTTCAGAAATCCATCTACTTCTTTTGGACATAATTTTGATTGAGCCTGAGCTGACCTCCTATTCGGATTAGCCAACTATTCCCCCCCCCCCCCCCCCCCCCCCCCCCACACACACACACAACCCCACCCATCACTTTTAAAACAAAATGTGAATGCAAAATAAATAATTCGTTCTACATGAAAACTCAAAAATTGTCAAAATTGCTGGACGATTTCGGTTTGTTTAATCGGGATAAGGGGACTGGATTGTTCGTGCAAAGGCAGATTGCAAATAATAGCATTTCAGACTGTGGCCAAACGCTCAACGCAATTTCCTGAAGGAGAAAATTTGGTGGGGGAAAAAAAAATCAGATGCGTCTGGCATCCTAACACCGAGCAGATGTGTCAGTGAAATGCGTTTTAACATTGTTTTCCGGGGTGTAAAGGCGATTTGATGCTGTTTTCCCTCTTATTTGGAGGATCAGGGTGTCATAAAAGTGGGGAAACTGTCATAAAACGCGTGGATCTGACACAGCCCCGACCCTGCAACAGCCCAGGGAGGGAGGGAGGGAGGGAGGGAGGGAGGTCTTTGCAACCCCTTGAGCAGCTTCAACGAGGGGAGACTCCTGAGGCTCGCAACGGCTGCTCGGCTCCGCTTTATGTAGCCTTCTTGCCGCACCCATCTGCCACTCAGCCCTGGTGTGAGCGGCATTGGGTGGGAGCGGGTGCCGGGCCCCTCCCCGACGGCTGGCAATGAGTTTGGGAGATTTCATTTAACCCGAGTCGGTTGAAAGCTGCTGTAAAAGTCCCCCAAGTTAACACAGCGCCACTGCCTGCCTTTGCAGGAGCTCTGGCTTCCAGGACTTACCTTCTGCAGAATTCAGTCTCTGCAAAAAAGAGAGGATCTCTCTCTCTCTCTCTCTCTGTCTCTCTCTCTCCACTGCGTTTCCACCTTTTTTCCTCTCTTTCTCTCGCTCTCTCTCTCTCTGCGTAGAAAACAAAATCCGGCTGTTTTGGGAATGAAGGCAATCTGTGACTGGGTGAAACGAGCAGCCAGCGTTAATGCTGCGATCAAAAAGCTGGTGACATTTATTTTTCTCCCCTTTCTCGCGTTCCTGAATTAGTGGCAGAGTTGCACAGCGAAGACCAGGTTTGCTCAGTGTGGGTCGAGGGGGGAACTTCAGGAGCAACACGAGAGACAGAGAGAGAGAGAGACAGAGAGAGACAGACAGACAGAGACAGACAGAGAGACAGACAGACAGACAGAGGGAGAGAGACTGAGAGAAGAGGGAAAATATACTTAATATGAATTCTGTGTCTGGAAGCAAGGATCGGAGTGCGTTTTCAAGGAATCGAAAATATGTCGTGAGTATTACAGCTGTGGGGTTTTTTTTTGGGGGGGGTGTTGGGTGTGGGGTGTGGGGTGGGGTGGGGGTGTTTGGGGGGTGGGGTGGGGGGGGTGTGGGGGGTGGGTGGGGGGGGGGTTGTTGGGGGGTGGATTCATGTGGCTTCACGAGATATTGAAAATCGATTCTCATATAAAAAAAATGTTTAAAGCAGACCCCCCCCCCCCACACCCCACCTCCACCTCCCCCCCCCACACAAGAAAAAAAAAACAATAAAAAAAATCCAAACAGTTTGGGGGATTTTTTAAATATTTTAATTTTTTTTGAAAAAAAATTGTACGTTTTATTATTATTATTATTATGAATACTAATAATTGATTGATTGATTGATTGATTGATCTATTGTATTTATCCATCCATCCATCCATCCATCCATCCATCCATCCATCCAGGGGACGGAGAATTGTTCTCCGACCAAAGTGGGATCTTTCACCCCAGAAAGCTGGTACAGGAAGGGATATCAGATGTGTGAGACCGGCAGCCGACCTGCCCCCGAGGGAGGCGGCTCTGTCCCGGGATCGGGCACCGCGTCCCCGGGTTCAAGCGGCGGATCTCCCGGCTCGTCCTTCACCGGTTCTCCCGGCTCCGGCGGTGGATCTCCGGGCTCGTTGGCAGGATCTTCCCCGGGCTCCGGCACCGGCTCCCCGGGCTCCGGCACCGGCTCCCCGGGCTCCAGCACCGGCTCCCCGGGCTCCAGCACCGGCTCCCCGGGCTCCGGCACCGGCTCCCCGGGCTCCAGCACCGGCTCCCCGGGCTCCGGCACCGGCTCCCCGGGCTCCTTCGGCTCTGAGGATAAGGGGATCTGGTGTGAAAACTGCAACACCAGGCTGGTGGAGCTGAAGAGGCAAGCGTTGAAGATGATGATCCCAGGAGCTTTTTCCAGCAAGGTACGTGATGCTCACCCGCCCCGGCAATTAATCTGCAGCTCTCTGCATTGCTCGGCTTTAAGTTTCACCCGAAAAAAACGTGACAACACCTCTGACTTAAGGTTAAATGGGGACGGATGAGCGAGAGAGAGAAAGAGAGGGAGAGAGAGAGAGAGAGAGAGAAAGAGAGAGGAAGGTGGAAGATCTATTAATTGATCTTAAGATTGCAATCGATTTTCCACTACCCAGAGTGAAAAGAAAGTGTTTTTGTTAACTCTTTTTTTAAAAAATGCAAAGGTAACCCTCCAGAAATTGACATGCCATTTGACAAGGCACTTTTGTTGGAAAAAGAAGAAATACTGTATATATGATATGCATTTGTAATGTGTGTGCATGCATATGTGTGCGTATATATATATATATATATATGTGTGTGTGTGTGTGCTGGAATGCCGCTGACTGTGTCCCTCTATAAGGGCAAAAATACCAGGTCAAACCCTGTTCAGAAGTGACAACGATTTAAATTCCACCCACACCTATACGACATGAAAGAACCACCGCACCTCCACCAGTCTTTTCCCCGTTCCTGCACTGGTGTGAACCATTGCTTTTACACACCGGAGGAATGAATAAATGAACATCTGCAGGAATGGGTCTTCAGTCCCCCCCCCCCACCCCTTTTGAAAGTAGGCGATTATAAACGGGTACAATGAAAAGCATTGCAGATCGGAACGTGCCAGCGCATTAATACGTGTATTTTTGCAATCGCTGCTGTGAGCCACTAAATAAATGCAGAACAATCTCTCTTCTCCCTCCACATGCACCCATCACACACGGAACTCACCGACCCCCACACACACACACTTCTCCCCTCCCTCCCTCCCTCTTCTCCCCTCCCGGCCCTGTTGTAAGGTCAGAGTGAAATTCGGTCACACACCACACCTTTAGAGCAACTCCCTCTTAAGGGAAAGAGGCACTGAAGGGATGTGAGTGAGGCTGAACCGCCGGGTGCCCATCAGCATTGCAGTGAGCAGAGCTCGCAGGAAACCAGGGGAGGCGGGAGGGGGGGTTGGGGTTGGACTTAGTGGTAAAACCTGATGTTCCTGCAGATGTTCACTGATCTCAGTGCAATCCAGCCTGTACCTTTTAACAGGAGAGAACCTCCGCCCTACCTACCCCCCACCCCCCTCCTTTCATTGCACAGTCCTATCAAAATCCTGCCTTTTGGGATTCTCGGGAAAAATGAAATTACGACTATTAAAGGCCCCACCCCCCCCACCCCCAAACGAAAGGTTACAAGACGATCTTCTTTTGCACAGGCAACGCAGAGTAATGAAGTTTCGCCTGGATTCAGTATTGCTGAGGTGGATTATGTGTGCACTTCACAACTGTGTACGATCAGACTGCAAGGGTAGGATTTGAGTGCCCGGATTCCTGTACACTGCTAATCTGGGTTAAAAAACAATTAAAACAATAGTGTTCAGGCTTTATTCATTTATTACTGTGTGAAGGAAGGAAGGAAGGAGGGAGGGAGGAATGTGAGTTGGGTCATGACTGATATCTTTGCGTATCCAAGAGATACACATTGTGGCCACATATTCCATCCACACTGGTGTGTGTGTGTGTGTGTGTGTGTGTGCACTGACACGAGTTGCTGGCCAGATGACTGACATATCACCAGTATAGCAATGCCATTCCCAGGGGAGTCACTCGCATTTCTGTTTGTGGAGTGGTTTGCCCTGGCTGTCCCCGGGGCTCTCCGCCTTGTTAACTGGCTGGAAATGCGCTGCTGCTGATGTGATGATTATATGAGAGAGAGAGAGAGAGAGAGAGAGTCACAGGTTGAGAGCTCAGGACAGCCCACCACTGCTGGCCCCTGGCCAGGTGTTTACCGACACCAGATACTGAATGGAAAGCCTCGATGTCCCAAGGGATGGGACGCCTTCAAATGCTTAACTTTCCCAATCAGAATGAATCCAGGCCGGAATGAATGAATGAATAGATAGGTAGAATAGATAGATAGAATAGATGGATAGATGGATAGATGGATAGATAGATAGGATCTGAACTGGGGAGGAGGTAAAGCAATGGGATTATGACAGATATACTATTACTACTTTGTGCGGCACTCATGCGATTGAAAAGCATTACTTTCTAGTTAAAATGCCACAACAGAAAAAGTGTTTTAAATGGGGGGAAAAAAAATCCCCAACCTCTATTCTCATCAGAAGCTTATACAGCAGGGAGTCGATTCGGTTTAAAATGCCGGAGATGTTCACCTCTGGCTCATCGGCACCTGCAATCCCGTCTCACACACGCCGAGCACCGCGGTGTGTTGGTGGTGTTTGGGGGGAGGTTGTGCAAAGATGTGGGTTTGCAGGATGGTAATCGCCAGCGTGTAGCTCACTGGATGATATATCCCTTACGTTTAGAGCTGTGTGGGTTGAATCCTCGCTGGATGCGTGTCAGAGGGTTTGCAGTATCTGTGACTTGTGTTTGAGAGGCAGTGGGGCAAGTGGTCAATTGTAAATAAGACAACGTCTGTCACTGTCACTGGGCTGTGAAGGTAGGTATAGGTGGACCTCTGGTCCATTTCTGTCCCGTATCCGCCCTGCAATCCACATCCTCGCCTCACGCAATCTACTCTGTGGGCAGAACAGTGCAACGAAACACTTTACTTTTGCTCCCAGTGCTCTGACGGTGATTAACTCTGGACTCCCCTTCCTCTTGATAGTGCTATCGGCATCCTGCCCATTTTACTTCTCACATAATAAAGGTCTTTTTGAGGTCTCCCTCTCGCTCTCTCGTTCTTTCTTCTTAACTCCTGCTCATTTTGCCTTTTATGACTGCTAACAGCATTTGTGAAATATCGAATGTTCCTTGGGGGCGCAGTTTCCCTGTCGACCAGCTCTCACCCTCACATAATAAATACCTAAAACACAGTGCCTGCCGAGCCTTGGGTTGGTAATATAAACTGGGAGCTGGCAACAACAATGCTGAGACTGAGCAAGATTTTACTGCTGTGGAAATCTGCAGATCTGAGACATTGAGTCTCTCTCTATTTTTAAGAGATGGATTGCTGTTTTGACGATTGCTTAACAGTTTGCAAATGATACTGGACGCATGTGCCGAGCAGTCCTTGCATTGCATTTGCAGCGTTTTTTGCTGTGCACGTTACTCGTTGTTCACTCCCCTTCCTTAGAGGCAAATCGAACCGTAATAGCAATAACATGGGCAAAGATCGCCTCGCGTCGTTCGCTTTTTTTAAAATAATATTTTCCCTCGAATATTATCCTCAACCAGTCTACTGCAGTGCATGTTAATCATTCATATCTCTAAAGTAAACGGGATCTTTTCCAGTCGCTTTTTGCATTGTAAACGACCGAGGGTTCATTAACCAGTGCAGTATACTGCAGCTGCATTAGGTGGAGTTAATTGAATAGCGAATGAACGGAACAGTAAAGGTCGGACAGAGGTACTTTCGCTGCATTTTATCACAGAGCAAAATCAGTTATGTGGCATCTTTTAAAATGAATGGTTCCTGTTCAAATATTTAGGCAGTTTTTTCTAACATGTCTGCTTGAGCCATGTGAAGTCAATTTTTCAGCTGGTGTTGGCTGTCACAGTATTAATTCCTTTGGGTGCTGTTTAACTCAGTAATTACTGAGGGAGCGCCTTTATTGTTAACATCTTTTTTGATTGCATTCAGACAGTTGTCCCTTGGACTGTAAAACGCGGCGCATTCATAAGATGGGACCAGTGTTTCTGCTAAGAAAAGATTTATTGAACCCTCGGCGCAGCGTGAGTTCCTTCCACAGTGACTGGAGTGTGTTCAGTACTTCGGGGGGTTCATTACCCACTTCCCAATTTCATGGCTGTGGCCCAAGTTCTTGGGCTGCCTGGCATTCAAACCTGCCAGCCACAGGAGACACAGTTGGGTTGGGGCTTTGCCAGCCTTTTTTTTGTGTGTTTGAGGTGCATTGTCGCAGCAGAACATCCAGTCTCACAAGAGGAGAGATCAATCGCCACTATAACGCATAGCCCCTGTCCTGCAATGCTGATCATGGAACACATTATGTATTGGCAGGGGTAGAGGTGCAAACAATGTACATTTATTTGGACAGTGTCGAAGTCATTCATATGTGCAGTATTTTGGTAGTCAAAAGTCCCGTGGAATGCATTAAATCCTGCAGTCTTCTGGGAATATTAACCCTTTGTTGTGCAAGTAACAACGGTCCATTACCTTTCCCAATGTCTCTAATGCCAGTAATTATTGTGATTTCAAGGTAAGAGGCTGGTGAATAAACATAAGGCTATGTTGTAATCTTATGGTATGTGTTTGTTTGTGTCTGTTTGTTGGGGTTGGAGGAGAAAACCCTGTGAACAAAAACAAAGAAGGAATACAGTTGTCTCCAGGGTGAATAGGAAGATCCACATGGACACTTTTACCTGCTCCAAAATTGATTTTCTGTAGAGGATGTTGCAGTTTTAAAATCTCAAAAAGAAACACTTTTTTTATCATTCAGTTTTTATCTCCATTGACAGGTCACATTATTAAAATATCCATCCTGTACCTGACAGTGACCACTGGCACAGCTCCTACCAGTAAACCTGGTGAAATAACTCCCAGTTTGCTTGAGGTGGTATCTGATAAACCAGTATCTTATCTATCTATCTGATATCTAGATCGTATCTATTTGATAAACCAGTATCGTAGAGTTTGTTCTGTGGTTTCCATTGTAATCTTCCAGTTCTGTTTGCCAGACATATCTGCAAGTCTACCCACTGCAGATCAATCCAGGCTGAAATGGTTGTTCAATAAGGTGAGGAGCGATGAATGAAAAAGTGGGCCATTGTTGCACTCCCAGAAACCGTGACATGCAATGACGTGGCAGATCTGTGCATGGTGTCAATGGACGACACAGTACAGTGGAACAGATGCAGACATGATAGTGAGATGATGTCCTTGAGCTAGATAGGATAAAAAGAAAACAAACATGGTTGTGCACCTAATTATTATC